TGAACAGTTCCAGTCTGGTTTCCACCCACTCCACAGCACTAATAAAAATCACCAATGACCAATGTCTTCTCGGGTCCTAAAAACTGTACCCGACCCGAATCACTACTTACCCGAACCCGACGTGCATAAATATTTTTTTTTTTTAAGAAAAACCCGACCCGAGACAGACCCGATAAAATTAGACCCGAGTCCGACCCGACCTGACGGCATTTCCTTTAGAACCCGACTGGACCCGAACGTAAACGCCATTTACATTGTGCACAGCCTGCAGCCCTGCGTTCTCAAACATGCGCTTAACATAGACGCGCAAGTGTAAGCGCGCTGAAGTGCTAAAATGTCAATCACACATCACTGTAACCCATTACGTCCTATAACATTTGGCATAATGTCATTTACCGGACCATACGAGGATTAGAACCACCATTCGTTTTCCCTGACATTTTTCGCAATTTCTGTTATCGCCTCCATGGTTTTCTGACAGTGTCGCGTATTTTTAAAATTGATTGACAGGCCTGGCTTAACGACAATTCAAATACTTGCATTTAGTCAAACATCCATCCACATGACGGCGCACTAGTTCTTGTTGGCAAAGGGAGGGGTTGGTTTATCCCCAACATAGTTTAAAAGAATTCGGGTCTTCTCGGGTCCATTTGGAAAAGGCATATTTATTTGAAATTACCCGAGACCCGAGGCCACTAATACCGAACCCGACCCGTGTCCGAGACACTCGTCGGAGTTTTGGACCCGAACCCGCTCAGGTCTCGGGTCAGACCTCGGGTTTTCGGATCCAAGTGGACCCGTGAAGACCTCTACTCTGGATTACTCACTATCCTCATTCTCCTTGACCTGAGTGCGGCCTTTGACACCATCTGTCATATCACTCTCCTCAAAAGATTGTCATCTTGTCAAAACCAGTGTTGAGCATGTTACTTAAAAAAAGTAACTAGTTATAGTTACTAGTTACTTCTCACAAATAGTAACTGAGTTAGTAACTGAGTTACATCATTATAAAAGTAACTAATTACCAGAGAAAGTAACTATTGCGTTACTTTAAAAAAAAATTTAAAATAGGCCTATGTCAAATAATTTGGATGCCCCCAGTATTAAATATGTTAAATTAATGAAATGGACACTTAATAGTCTAGATTAGTGTTCAATGTTTTATAATAATAATTTATTCTATTTTAATGTTGCTGTGGGACAATGTGAGAGAGATGGTTTATACTTAATATCACACAGAGCCCAACTGGCCAACAAATAAGTTTAAAAATAAATTATCCTTCTTAAGAAATGTACCAAAAATGAATAAATAATAATAACAAATATACATACTCTTTGTGCATATTAAAATGATAAAACTGTTACACAACTTCACAACTATTTTGGGGGTTTATTTTTATAACCTATAGCAAACTTCCTCATCAGAGGTTATTTAAGCCAAATTCTAGACATGTTTGCCGCACGTGTTTAGGCTACAACCGGTCAAACAAAGATGTTTTCTGTGAATGTTCCCTGCAGGTTATTTTCGGGTTTTATTTTATAACCTAAACAGAACGTTCCCTGTAGGTAATTTTTTAGATTGTATTTGTATAACCATGTAAATTAATTAACGTTGCTCTCTTGCGCAACTGTTGACACTGCTCTCGGACACACTCGGTCTCTCTCGCGCATTGAGCGCGCTCGCGCCGTTCGCTTCGCTTTTGTCCACTCCGGAGCCTCATAAACACACATACACACACCAGAGAAAAAAACTTTGCAGGTCCTATGGCGGAGAGAGAGCCTACTCGGATGAAAACCGCTTCAGTGAGTTCAATTATAGTAACGCCAGGTTTTGTTTTGTCAGTAACGGTAACTGCGTTGTAACGGGGGAATCAGTAATTCGTTTGATTACTCGTTACTGAAAAAGATAACGCCGTTAGTAACGCCGTTTATTTATAACGCCGTTATTCCCATCACTGGTCAAAACTGACAGTTTCTGCATCAAAATTGAAAATTCCTCCATCTCACCTTCCCTTCAGGTTAAGAGTCTGGGTGTCATCCTTGATAGCACACTATCATTCCAACCACACATCAATAACATCACCCGGTCAGCCTACTTCCACTTACGTAACATTAATCGTCTTCGCCCCTCCCTCACTGCTGCCATTCTGGTCCACAGCCTTGTCACCTCCCGCCTAGACTACTGCAAAACACTTCTTTTGGGCCTCCCTCACAAATCCCTCCGTAAACTTCAACTAGTCCAAAATTCTGCTGCCCGAATCATTACCCGTCCCGAACCCCCTCCATCCATCACCTCACTCCAGTCCTCCAGCAGCTTCACTGGCTCCCTATTGAGTTCAAGGTCCTCTTGCTGACATTCAAAGCCATCCATAACCTCTCTCCCCCTTATTTGTCTGATCTCCTACATGTTTCCACTCCATCTCGTTGTCTCAGATCCTCCTCCACATGACATCTGTCTGTCCCACCTGCCCGTCTCGCCACAATGGGGAGCAGAGCATTC